TGTTTTTACCGTTTCTCATCATCCTGACTGTTGGTGCCGTGACTAAGACTTGCGCCTGTAATGTTGTTTGCATACAGCCAACGACAGTTAGGACGGGTGTGCCTTGTATTATCTCGTGTCCCTGAGCATCCACATTTCAGCATGGAAGAAAGGAGAGGCAGATGTCATATAGAAAAGGTGAAGTAAAACCTTTACTCTGAATTGGTGACATAAGTATGACCTCGTGAGTCATACTTACATTTATATAAATATATTGCCACTCTTTCCACAGAAAAATTCTAGAACCAGTGACCAACGCATAGCCATGAGCCTCCCTAGTGCCCAGACTGTGGTCTTAAAATCCCATTTCCCACCGGAAGGAACCAGGCGGGGCTTCTGAGGGAAGGGGCTGATTCCCTGCCTGGGGCAGAACGGAAGAACCCGGGACATCTCGTCATGCCAGAGAGCAAGGAAGCTGTCAGAGACTGTGGTGCTTGTCAAAGGTACTTGGGAGACATCCTGAAGACCCTATTGGCCAAGTGGATATTATTTGAGCTTTAAAAAAAGAACAAGAATTGCAATAAATTGCAACCCATGTGTAAACCCATGTATTCATAATGATAACGTTCAAAAAAAAAAAAAAAAGAACTCTTCATCCTCTCTGGAGGACAGGGAATCAATTCATCATCTTGAAAACTGGAGAAAAAAAGGAAAGAATCAAGCCTTGATTCTGCCTTGTGTGAATGCCACCTTGGAGTAAGTAGGTATTCCAGCTCATAAGTGGAAACAAAACCGTAGAATTCGATCACCATTTTGCATCTCCCGGTGACAGAAGTGCTGGTGACAGCTAGCGCTGTCACAACGTCACATGTGGCCGAGGTCCAGAAACAGCATGCCTCCTTGTGATGGCATTCAACACCAGCTCTAGCCTGCTAAAGATCTAGACCCTGAGAGCAACCAGACCTCTGGGTCCTGCTGCTGATTTGCCAGGAATACAAGGGCCTCAAGACGGGTGCTGGGCTGCACCCCTGAGGGCGCCTGGCCGGGAGGCTGATTCGGCAAAGAGGAGGAGACATGTAGACAGACTGGATAAGCCAAGTTTGACAAATGGACAAGCCTCAGGTGTAGTGTGTGAAGAGTGTGATCAAACCATAAAGAAATGCAAAATCGTTACTACGGAAGTCAGCGTGCTGGTTCTCTAGTGAATGACAGGGTTCGATTGGCTGGGGACTGGCTGTCTGGTGATGATCAGGCCATCTGCTCTGTAATAATTCACAAAGCTGTTTTTTGGGGTGAGCTTTTCGGTATCTAAATTTCATTTTTACATTAAAAAGCTTTAAAAAAAAAGGGTCCTAACATTTTATACGCTCTCACTCCTCCAATATGAATGTTTGATTATTTGTCAAATTTACTGAAAATATCAGTAGGTATTTTCCAATGTGTGTATTTTTTAATATTACCAAACAATTAACTCAGTTCCATGTTACCTGGACCATCAGTTTAGCCTCAGAGCCCCCAGGTTAGAGGGGCTTACCTCATTAACATAAACTCAGGTGTGGTTGAAAGTGGTTTGTTATAAAGGACCAAAGACACCTTCCAGGCTCTTATCTCTTGGGAAATTCCTAGGGTTTTAGGATCTCTGCACCAGATAATGGGCACAGACCAATATATATTTATTATTAGTTACAACGTTACACATTTTGATAGGATTGCATTGAATTTATTACTTAATTTGACACAGAAATGACATCAGAGTTGAGTCTTCCAACCATGAACATGGTATGCCTTTCCATTTATTTACGTCTTCCTCAAAACATTTATTTATGGTCTTTAGAGGCAGAAGGATACTGTAAACGGTTTCCTTATTTTATTGTATTTTCAGGTTGGTTTTGCTTGTGTAGAGCAATGCTGTTTTTGTATATTGATCTTGTGTCCAACACATTTGTTAAAAACTCTTTGTTATTTCAGGGATGCCTGGGTGGCTCAGTTGGGTAAGCGCCCGACTCTAGATTTCACTCAGGTCATGATCTCACAGTTCATGAATTCGACCCCCACGTTGGGCTCAGTGCTGGCAGCATGGAGCCTGCTTAGGATTCTCCTCTCTTCCCTCTCTCTGACCCTCCCCAGCTCCCTCTCTCTCTCTCTCTCTGTCTCAAAAAACAAAACAAAACAAAACAAAACAAAACAAAACACCTCTGTTATTTCTAATAAATTTCCTGTTGAGTCTCTTAATTTTTATGTATAAGTAATTGCATATTCTACAAATGATGACAGTTTATAAATGTATGATTTTTGTTTGTTTCTGGTGTTATGGCCCTGGTTCCAATCACCAAGACAATGTTAAATGGGGAACCCTTGTCTTAGTTCTGATATTTATGGCAACGACTCCCAAGGCTTACCGTCAAATATTAGGTGTACGAGGCCTTTGAAGTAGACGGCCTTGATCTAGACAAGGAGGTGCCTTTTCCTAGTTTTTTAAACATTCTTTTTAAACTTTGTGCATCTGTGAAGATAATCATATAGTTTTCCTCCTTTAATCTTTTAATGAGGTGAATTGTCCTGATAGATTTCCTCATGTTGACCACACTTACAGTCCTGAAACAAATCCTATCTGGTCATGTCTACTAAATTATTAAGTCAAGTCGCTAAACTTTTATTTAGGATTTGCAACCATGTTCATAAGAGAGACTTTTACTTTATTGTGTGAGCCTTTTCAGAGCTAGTTGTGACCTCTGTCCTGCCCCTTCCCTCCCCTTCTGGGACGCCCTCAGACTCATCTTGGCCATTTTACTTCTTTCTCCACATTTCTTCATGTGTCTGCTGTGCCCCCCCCCCCCCACGCCACACCCCCACCTTTTTTCTCTCTGCCGCCCTCTGGATCATTTGCTGTGATCATTCACTTGTCTAAGTCTCTGTTTGCTGAGGTCCAGTCCGCTCTTAAAATCGTTTGTTGCATTTTTAATTTCTATTTCTGTGGGCTTCATTTCTAGAAATTCTGTTTGTTTCTTTGGAATGTGCTTGGTCCCTCTTTGTAGTTTTCTCCACCGCACGTTTTTTCAAGCTTGTCTCAGCATGGTTGGTCTGTAGCTCACATCCGAGGTACCTGTCACCGGAAGGCTCTGGGGGTTGTCCAATGCCTGTTTCTGCTGGTTCTCCCTCTTGGCACTTTGTTTTCTGGCCTATTTATCTTTAAATATGTCTGCTCGCGCCTGGGTGGCTCAGTCAGTTAAGCATCCAACACTTGATTTTGGCTCAGGTCATGATCTCATGGTTCATGAGTTCAAGCCCCCGTGTGGGGCTCTGTGCTGACAGGGAGGAGCCTGCTTGGGGTTCTCTCTCTCTCTGCCCCTCCCCCACGTGTGCTCACTGCCTCTAGGGCTCTCGCTCTCTCTCTCTCTCTCTCTCTCAAGGTAAATAAACTTAGAAAATAATTTGTGTGCTCAATGCCCTTGAGAAATGATTCTTGGCATTCTCCAAGGCCTAGGATGAAGGGGCTTCTCCAGACCAGATTCACGTCTGTTTCTGAGCGGTACCCAGGGGTAGTGCCTGACTGTCAGGGCCATCGGGACCATTTTGAATTGAAAAACAGGTTGAGGTCTCTCGGACCTTCCTAGAGATGCAAACCAGGGCTGGGAACCAGCACCCTAACCCACCAGAGGTTGCGGGAAGCTCTCTCTTCCTCCCTGCCTGCTCAGACCAGCCACCGCTGCACGGGGCCAAGGGTTGGGGTGCCCTCCCGGCTCCCCCCACCCAGGGCGACACGGGGGCAGCTCTGTGATGCCCTCAGCAGACGTGGCTTCCTGTGCACTGCATCCCTCTGCCCTTTCTCAGGCTGTGGCCTGAGGATCCTGATTCTTTCATCACCTTTCACAAGCTTTGGGGAGGCTTTTTATATGTACGGCTTTTCGTCCAGCAGTCGCTGTCTTCAGCAGCAGGCTGGCCCAAAGGGCCGGGTCCACCGTGTTGTGGGAAGCGATCCCCCGCTTGTTTTTAAACACACAGAAGCTTTCTTTCTCCTCCTCTTCCTTTGTCAATATGCATTTGAATTCACCATCATATTTGATCAACTCCTGTGTTCCCTGTTCCCTTTTGTAACCTACTTCTTCCTTTTGGGGTCCTATTTCTGCTTTTTAAAATACATCTGTTAGGCCTTCTTCTTCTAAGGCCCTGCGGCAGTTCTGAAAACCATTTAGAGACCACGTGTGTTTACTTCTCCCTGGGTCTTCGTGATAGACTTGGGGTTCACGATGATATCCACAGAATGACTGTCTTGTTTCCCGGTTTTGCACCACAAATAGTCTAACATGCCTGTATCTCTTCGCCTTTCCTCTAGATACTCTCTCCCCATTTTGTCAGCTAATTGGGGACAAGAGCCTACTCTTAGACATTTTATTTTAGATAAGCAGCTGTCCGGGTGCCTGGGTGGCTCCGTCAGTTAAGCATCCGACTTAAGCATCCGGGTCATGATCTCAAAGTTCGTGGGTTCGAGACCCACATCGGGCTCTGTGCTGATGTTTCAGAGCCTGGAGCCTGCTTCGGATTCTGTGTCTCCTTCTCTCTCTGCCCTTCCCCCACTTGTGCTCTGTCTCTCAAAAATGAATAAATGTAAAAAAAAATTTTTTTTAAATAAGAAGCTTTCCATCCATATAGTTCACTATTTTCCACTCTGACCACGAGCCTTTCTTTTCAATGGCTCTACCTTTTTTTTTTTTTAAGATTTTATTTTTCAGTAATCTCTATACCCAGCGTGGGATTCGAACTCCCAACCCCCAGATCAAGAGTCACGCGCTCCTCCACCTGAGCCAGCCAGGCGCCCCAAGCCTTTTTAAAAAAATTATTGCTTTATTTTTCCCACTTTTGGTCTTGTATAAATTAAAAATTTTTTAAATGTTTATTTATTTTTGAGAGAGAGAGTGAGTGGGGGAGGGGCAGAGAGAGAGAGACACACACACACAGAATGCAAAGCAGGCTCCAGGCTCTGAGCCCCGAGCTGTCAGCACAGAGCCCGACACGGGGCTCAAACCCACGAACTGCAAGATCATGACCTGAGCTGAAGTCGGACAGCTAACTGACTGAGCCACCCAGGCGCCCCATGGTCTTGTACAAATTTAAACTGGGTTGGGAGAAACCCGCTCTTCTGGGGCCCAGCTCAGCACGACATCTCGCCAAGGACACCACCTGCGTCTTGTGCATACTGTAGACGAACAGGAAGGAGGAAATTGCTTTACGGCGTTATTGACATACAGCCGACCTAAAACAAACTGTATATATTTTAAATATCCAGTTTGCTAAGGTTTTACGTGAAGCCTGTGAAACCATTACCTCCTTCAGGATAATGGACAACCACATATCTGCTTTCTTTCCATAGCGATTAGCTCACATTTTCTCAAATTTTAGACACATGGAATCAGGCATTGGGTACTCTTGTGTCTGAATTCTTTCGCTCTGCGTAATCATATCTAGATTCATCCGTGTGTGGCGTGTGTCAAAAGCCCGTTGCACTGGATGGCTACACCACGATCTGTTTGCCCACTCACCTGCTGATGAACGTTTGTGCTGTCTCCAGGTTTTGGCTTCTAAAAACGAAACCACAATCAACATTCATGGGCAAGCCTTTCTCATCACTCTGGGGTGAATATCAAGGCATGGAATGTCTGCATCGTATAGCAGGTGTATACTTACCTTCTAAAAAATTGCCAAATCGTTTTGTAAAGTGGTTGTGACATTTTCTGTTCCTGCCAGCAGTGTGTGAGGATTCTTATTCCTGGACATCCTTGTCTACACTTGGTGTGGTCGGTCCTTTCCATCTGAGCCATTCTACAAGGTAACACTAGCTCATTGTGGCTTAAGTTTGCATTTCCCTAACGTCTATCGATGTTGAGCATTTCCTCACGGGCTTCTTTCCCACTTTTATCTTCCGTGGTGAAGAATCTGTTCAATATTACTCTTTACTGGGTTGTTGGTTTCCTTGTTATTAAATCTGGAGAGCTCTTCACAGGTTCTGAATACGAGTTCCTTACCAGGTATATGATTTGCAAGTATTTTCCCTCAGTCGGTGACTCGTCTTTTCATTCTCTTACCAGCATCTTTGAAAGATGAATCTTTGGCAGGCATCCAAATGTTTTTATACGTTGTTTTTTCATTTTCATTCAGTTCAAAGTAATTTCTTATTTCCCTTTTCATGTCTTCTTTGTCCCAAGGGTTATGTAGAACTGTATTGTTTAGTTTTCAAATATTGGGAAATTTTCCAGAAATATTTTATTGATTTCTAATTCCATTTTGATCAGAGAAGATGGTTTGATCTGAATCCTTTTGAATGTACTAAGACTTTTATGTGCCAAAATATAGTCTCTCTTGATAAATGTTCCATTTGAAAAGCATGCAGACTCTGCTGTCGTCAGTGGGGCGTTCTGTAAATGCCAATCAAGTCAAGCTGGTAGGTTGTGCTATACAAGGTCACTCTATTCTTTCCGGTTTTCCGCCTGCTAGTTCTGTCAAGTATAGAGGAAAGACTATTGCAGCCAACTATAGTTGTGGGCTTGTCTCTTCCCCCCTGTAGTTCTATCAGTTTTGTTTTATGCACTGTGAAACTATGATATTATGTGTATAATATCAATTCTGGATGTTGTGTCCTCCTGATGAATGGTTCCCTCTATTACTGTGAAATGAATATCCTTATCCCTGATAATATCCCATTCTTGGCCATGAAATCCATGTTGTCTGGTAACAGCTACTCCAGCTTTCTTTTGATTAGCCTTAGCATGTTGTGTCTTTTTGCATTTGTGTCTTTCTATTTAAAATTTTTTTTTCAATGTTTATTTATTTTTGGGACAGAGAGAGACAGAGCATGAACGGGGGAGGGGCAGAGAGAGGGAGACACAGAATCGGAAACAGGCTCCAGGCTCTGAGCCATCAGCCCAGAGCCCGACGCGGGGCTCGAACTCACGGACCGCGAGATCGTGACCTGGCTGAAGTCGGACGCTTAACCAACTGCGCCACCCAGGCGCCCCTGTGTCTTTCTATTTAAAGTGTATATCTTATAAGCAGTTTACAGTTGGGTCTTGCTTTTCTGTACAGTCTGAAAATCTTTGCCTACCTGTGGTATTAAACATTTACGCTTAATATGATTATTGAGATGGTTAGGTTTTTTAAATTTTTAAAATGTTTTTATTTATTTTTGAGACAGAGAGAGACAGAGCATGAGCAGGGGAGGGGCAGAGAGAGAAGGAGACACAGAATCCGAAGCGGGCTCCAGTCTCCGAGCTGTCAGTGCACAGCCCTATGCGGGGCTCGAACTCACCGCGAGATCATGACCTGAGCTGAAGTCGGATGCTCAACCGACTGAGCCACCCAGGTGCCCCGAGATGGTTAGGTTTAATTGATCTTCTTCCTATTTGTGTTTTGTTCCATCTCTTCTTCATTAACCTTTTCTTGTTCTGCCTTATTAGTTATTTCTGTGTATGTGTGTGTGTGTGTGTGTTTCATTTTATCTTCTTAGTTGACTTATTAGTTCAAACTGTTGTTTTAGTGATTGCTTTGGTGTTTTTTTGTTTTGCTTTTTGGATTTTTTTTTTTTTTGGCATTTATAATATACATCTTTAACTCCTTAGAGTCTCCCTTCAAGTGATAATGCAGCACCTCACAAATAGCCTACGATCCTACCCTTGGCAGCTCCACTTCTGCCCTCTGGGCATTTGTGCTGTTGTAGTCACACCTCCCCCTCATGATTTTTTTCATCTTTCTTACACTTGGCACTCACCAAGCTTCCTGGATCTGCGAGTTTACAGTTTTCATCAAGTTGGGAGATATTTATCACTTCTTCAAGATTTTGTTTCATTCCCCCTTCCTCTGGGGATTCCAGTTACACGTGCATTAAGTCACTGAAGTTGTCCTGCCAATGCTTCTACTGTTATACCATCATCATCATTATCTCTTTCCATTTACTTTTGGATACTTTCTATTGCCATGTTAGGTTCCCCGGTCTTCTTTTTTTTTAATATCTCATCTGCTATTAATCCCATTTGATGTATTTTTTATCCCAGACATTATAATCTTTCTCTAGAAGTTGGATTTGAGATCTATCTACGTATCTATCTAATCTTCCATATCTATAATTAACTTTTCGAACATACGGAATACAGTTACAATAATTGTTTTAATGTTCTTGACTAACGATTCTAATACCTGTATCAGTTTCAGTTAATCGATTCTTCTCATTATAGATTGTATTTTCCTGGTTCCTTGCATGTCTTGTAATTTTTCACTGGGTGGCAGACATCGTGGATTTTACCCCGTGATGTGCTGGATATGTATTTTTGTTCGTACAAATACTGTTGAGGCTTTCCTGGGATCCAGTTAAGTTGCTTGCAAGCAGCTTAAACTTTTTGGGGTCTTGCTTTTAAGACGTGTTGGGCACGATGAGAGCAGCAGTCTGAGGCTAATTATCCCCTATTGAGGCAAGACTCGCGTGTGTGGCACCTACCCAGTGCCTGGGCACGAGTGCAGGACACTCTTCCCTCAGATCCTCCGGGCCGGTTCCTCCCCTGCCTCCGGTGGTCCCCTCGCATGCGTGTGCTGACCTGTGCCTGGCGGGGTGGACGTTCTTCACGGTTCTCTCCGAAGCCTTCCCTCCCGTCTCACGCTCCGTCCTGCTGGTGCCGGTGCTTCGGTCGGCCCAGGCCCTCTGCCCGTTTCCTCGACTCGGCGAGAGTGCCAGGCTCCCCCGGATGCCCTCCCTCCACCACAGCCTGAAAACGCTCTCAAGACACTGGCGCGTGTGCGGAACTCACGTATGTGTCCCCTGTGTCAAGGACACCGCTCTCCTTCTTTTCCTCGTGTCGTGTCGTGAAACCACCGCTCCGCACATTTTGTCTGGTTTTCCAGGCTGTGTCAGGCAGGAGGGTAAACCTCACCACCGTGACTCCATCTTGGCCCCGGTGGGATCCACGGAGCCGGACTTCTTTCCCATGAACGTATTCAGATCTCATGGAGTCTGTTTCTGAAGCCAGTCAGTATGGGCCCTGTTGAGTGACAGGCTCCACGGTGCCTCACCTACCACAGCATGTCTGCCCGTGCCCCCCGTGGTCGGGCCACTGCCCTCCTGCAAAGACCTGCCTTCTCCATGGACCATCTGCTTGCATTCCATCTGGAGAAGGTCCCTGAGCGGAAGCAGCCTGTGGCCCCAGGCTTGGGGACAGATGGCTGCTCTGTGCCCTCAGGTCAGCGCCTCAGGCCTCGAGCGCTAGGGCCTTTGAGGAGCGTCCGTTCCGCCTCAGTCTCACCGCAGAGGCGTCTGGTCGCCATCTTCCTCCCCTCCCCCTTGATTTGCACGTCAGCGCCTCAGCCTGGTCTGACGGGCCGTGGTGCCTGCACTTCCCCTGAGTTCTGTCCCCGGTGACGTCCTCCTCGTATGCCCCGTGGGGACCCTGGGGGTTCTGAGCCCCCGAAGCACCCACTGAGCACACGCACCTTCCCCCCCCCCCGGACACATGGTCCCACCTCGGGGTTACTCCCTCCACCTCACGTGGCACCAGGCCTGAACAGCATCTCTCATGCCTGCAGACGAGCCACACAGCCCTGCACGCAGGAGGCCACCCGGGCCGCTGACTCTGGGGGGCACAGGCCTCCCCAGGGCTCCACGGCTCGTGTGGAACTAACTCCACTGTCCCCCAAGTCCCCAGCTGCAAGCCCGGCCAAGTGAAGGCCACGACTGCTGCTCAGCCCCAGGGCCTGCCCCAGCCCCAGCCCCAGCCCCGCCAAGGCCTCCGGGCCAGTCCTGCCTGCACTAGGGCAGCCGCTGGCCTGTGAACAGAGCCCGAGGCTGCATGACATCGGGGTCATGACCCAGGGGCCCCTAGCAGGCCTTTTCTGTTGCTCATCTTTGAAGACGGGCGATGGGGCTTGCCAGCTTATGGGAAGGCATGCTCCATTCACCCCTGCACCCCAGGCAGGGCAGCAGCTACCCACACTCAGGTGTGGCCTGCTCCCGGGCCTGGCCCCACTCCTGATCCCCCAACAGACAGTTGGCTCAGGGGCGGGTCCACTACTCACTGGGGGCCAGCTCCCTGATGGCTCTGGGGCGAGATGGTGAGGACCCCTCCCCAGACATGCAGCCCGAGGGCTCCCCCCAGGCCGGGCCACCCACACAGCCTAACCGGGGTGCTGGGGGGAGATCCCTGTGGCACTCACCCTCATCTCCCCTCCTCAGGGAACATTCTTAGCAGCTTCTGCCGGCAGTCCCCTTCGTCCATGTCCAGGTCCATCCTGGAGGCCCTGACGCTCTCCACTGCCATGAGGTGTGCCCCCCACGACGGTTGCTCCCTGCTCCTGCGTGTGCAGGCCTCCCTCACGCTGCACGGTGAGAGGCCTCGGGGTGTGCTGACTGTGAGGGGGCTGGGCTCCGGGCTCCTTTAGCCCCCACCATCCGACGGGCCCGGTGGGGCAGGGTGGTCCCGCTAGATGCACATCTCGGAGAGAGGAGAGGACAGGATTCACCGCCCCGTCTGACAAGCCCTGCCCGGTCCCTCCCTTCACCCAGAGAGCCTGCGGGGCCTGGAGGCCTGCTCCATGAGCCTCGACACCCAGGAGACCCAGTGTCAGAGCGTGCGGGTCTCAAGGGCCTCCCGCCGACTACATGTGGGGCAGCAGGTGAGGCCAGGGCCTGACCCACACCTGCCGGGCCACCCAGCCCAAGCCTTTGTCAGGCAGGAGCAGCTGTCCCGGGGCTGCCCCCCCTTCCTCGACACCTGACCGACCCGATGCCCAAGGAACGGGCACCCTTCTGCGGGGCTCCGGCTGTGCCAGGCGGGGCTGGCCTGGCCGGGGGTGGGTAGGTGGAGACCCCAGGTGCGCCTGGCTCACACCTGCACCTGCCCAGCTCCAGGTGCACTTTGAATGCTTCGAAGTAAGCGTGGCCCAGAGCCTCTACGTCACCCTGAGGACAGTGCCCCACTTCTGTGGGGTCCGGCTGGACCAACAATACCATGTGGAAGGTGAGAGTCCCTGGGGCGGGCACCGCACGGCTGCCTGCCGCTGGCGTCTAGGGACAGACTCGGGGTGGGACACGCGAGGCAGGGGGCAGGGCCCCATGCTGCAGAGCTCCCAGCAAGCGCCTTGGCTTAGCTCCGGGGTCACGGCCTCCCTGGAGAGGCGGGACTTCTTTCTGTGGAGCACATGGGCAGAGGCCCACCCGGGTGTGCGGCTCCTGGGGACAGAGTGGCTGGACCCACCACTGCCTATGCGTTTGCAGACTGCAGAGACCAAGACGTGGGAAGGAACCTGCCCTTTTGCTTTGGTGAGACCTCCTCCCCGGGTGGGACCACAGCCCCGCAGCCCCTGGGAAGCCCCGCAGGCTGCTGCGGGCACCCACCGCCCTCCCACCGGGATCTTCTGCCCGCCCCACTTGGGAAATCACGATGGGTCCCCAGGTGCCTAGGGCTGGCAGGGGTCACCACCTCGAGGCTCTCAGGACAGGTGGGGACCTGTGTCCAGTGACCTCTAGTCCCAGCGTGGCCTCCACCTGCCGCCCGCCCGCCTTTTTGTAGCCGGGAAGTTCTCCTACTGGGTAGACCGCGGCCGCAAGGTCATTCTGGTACAGGTGCCCGAGGCGCCCGCGGACTCCGACTACTACGTGCGGCTCTGCCTCAAGTGGTTCACCTGTGAGGACGTGGGTGCCCCAGTGCGGGTGAGCCCGGCCGCGGACACCGCCTCCGGGGCCCAGACCAAGTTCCGCCCCACACCCGAGCCCGGGCTCCACCCGCCCCGGGGCCGCGCCCCACAAGCCCCAGGCCCCACCCACCCCAGGGCCGTCACGCCCCGCCCCGTCCCAGCCCGGGCCACGCCCACCCACTGGGCCCCCAGCCCCTGAGCCCTCCACTCCGCTGCAGGTGACGGTGAACAGGGTCTCTCGCGCCGTCTCTCTGCCCTACAGCCGAGAGCTGCCGTGCCTGTGCCTTGAGGTCAGTGAGCGTGTGGCCTTCACTGCGGGGAGGAGACGAGGGAAGGGCAGGACCTGCGCTGACCCCGGCCCCTCCCGCAGGGCTGGTCTGCGACCCCTGACGCAGTGCGGATGCAGGCCTGTCCCTTCGAAAATGGCAAGTGCCCCGTGGTGTGGAGTAGGGGGCGGGAAAGGTGAGCGCGTCCAAGGTGCCTGGCAGGGTGGTGGCCGGGCCGGCCCAGGTCCTTGAGCGTGCCTCGGACAACACGTAGCCGAAGGGGTGTCCCAAGCAAGCCCTTTCAGTGGCAGAATCTGCAGACTTGGGTGTGCCCGCGTGCGCGCGCCCAGCGTACACGTGTGCACGAGCCCCGGCCCTGCTCACCCTGAAGAAGAAGCAAGTGTTGTCGAGAGCGGCTCTCTGCGGGGTGGAGGAGTGTTACCCTGCGCTGGGCTCTGCTCCCTGACACCGCACAGGCACACGGACACACACACACACACACACACACACACACACACACACTTGGCCAGGGCCCAGAGACCCGCAGGGAAACTGCACCTGAGTCTCGACGTGGCCCAGCAGTCCCTTAAGCAGGTGCTGGGCTCAGCTGACTGGAGCCCCCGGGGAGGGTCCCTGCAGACACAGAGGCACTGTGGGACGCCATCCGCTACCACCCCGGAAGCCAGGCACTGAGCTGGGAGCCCGCCTGTCCCGTGAGCGGCCACGTGAGCCTGTGCTGGCGCCCGGAGCCAGGGGCCCTCTGCCACGAGCTGGAGCACTCCGGCCGGTCGGCACGGGCCAGGGTGAGTGGCCACCGGGCGGGGTGGGGGTGGGCACGGACGGCCAGGGCCTGACCCGAGCCCCCCCGCAGGTGCAGTACCCGCTGGTGGACACACAGCCCCAGCTCTGCCTGAAGGTGAGTGGGCCGGCGTCAGCCTGGTGCTTAGGGGAGAGGCAGCAGGGAGGCCGGCAGAGGGGTCGGCAGAGGGATCGGGGGCGTGGGGGCAGGGACGTGCAGCCACACTCACTCCAGACCTTGCCCGGCCCTGGGGTCCAGCCTCCCAGTGACCCCTCTGCCCCCCACCCTGGTCTGAGAGCGGGTACAGCTGAATGGTTCTGCGGGAAGGAGGCCCAGCCTGCCCGAGGCCCCGGCCACCCCCCACCTGCCACAGCTCACCCCTCATGTCCTCTCTGCAGTTCTCCACCAACCGGGGCTTCTGGGTGAGGTGCCCTTTCGAACGACTAGGCTTCCCAGGTGAGCTCTCCATGGGGCCGCAAGGCAGGGAGGGCGCCTGGGCCTTTTGCTGTGTGGTTGCAGCAAATAACGCCCTTTTCTGCGCTCCGAGAGATGCCTCGTGGCCAGGCAGGCAGGATGACAGGGTGCCGGGTCAGTGAGAAGGCGGGTGGAAGTGGCGGGGGGCGGGGTGCTGCTGGGCCTCAACCCTCCACCCCACAGCCTGGAAGATGACTGTCCGACCAGCCGCGTCTCAGGGCCACCTCCGGGTCACCTTCTTCTCGCCCAGCGCTGCCAGCTTCAAGGTGCACCTGTGTCACCAAAGGAAGATGTGGCCCCCTGCCTGCCACCCAGCGATCCAGGCCACGCCTCTCCCTCCAGCCTCAGTGAGCCAGGTGGGGTGGGCACCTTCCTGGGAAAGGTGTTTGACCCCTTGGCTTCCCTGGAGACCGCCTGGTGTGGAGGGGTGCAGGGCTGCTCTGCTGTGACACCTGTGTCCCTGTGCCATGGCGACACACTACGGCCGGTCTTGCCCCCACCCCCACTTCCCGCGACCTGCCCCTCTCCCAACCCAGGGTGGCTTCATGGCTGACTCCGCGGTTGCCTTCGTGGACATCCCCAGGGACGAGGCTTGTGTCCCCAGCACCTGCATCCAGGTGGGTGGTGCTGCCCCACCCCGCCCCCACCCACCATCTCCAGTCCCAGACCTGTTTCCCTGCCATCAGCCCACAGGGGAACTCCTGCCCCCCAAAGCTCCTCTCCAGGCTGTCGCTCTGGGGGACACGGTTGGGGTGCAGGGAGGGGGCCGCGGGCTGACCGAGCCGCCCCCCCTCCGCCTGCAGGGCTGGAGGACCGATGTGCACTTCTCCACCCCCCAGCAGCTGTGTGATCTTCAATGCAGTGAGTGCCGGGCCTGGGCCTCGACCCCGGGGGTGCGGGGGCAGTGGACGCTCACGGGCCGCAGGAGGCCGGGGCTGGACCCCATCCTCAGCTCGGAGCCGGTCGCTGGCTCTCACTCTCAGGGCGGGGCTGGTGTGCGCTGCTCGGGAGACCGGGCGCCAGTGGGGGACAGAGGGGCCACCTGCCTTGGAGTCAGGCCAGGCTTCTGAGCCAGGGCGAAGCCAGGCCGGATGGGAGGTAGGGCCCCGGCCCCACCCCCACCCCCGAGGTCTATCCTTGGGCACCCGCGGTACGGCTTCCTCCTCCCTGCATGTCCACCACCCCCCGCCGGGGTTCTGGTTCCAACTGTCGGGGACCTCGGGACGTCCATCCGCCCGCCTTCACCCACCCAAGCCGCTTAGGCCCCGACTCCTGGGATCTCGGGCTTAGCGAGAGGCAGAGCGAACCGTGTAGGTCCTGAGTGTGGCCCAGGAGGGTGGCCTCTGCCTGCGGGGCCTGAGAAGGGCACCGGGCTGTTAAGCGGGGGCGGGCATCGCCACCTGCATGTGTGGAAGCCCTCTGGCTGCTGACGGAGAGTGGACGGCAGGAGCCCTGGAGGGAGAGGGAGATGGGAAGGGGCGGGCTCGCACCCAGGCCTCCGGGCGGCTCGCACCCTTCCCAAAGCTGGTGGCCTGGCCGGGGCCTCTTAACACCCGTGTCTTCCAACCCCTCCCAGCCCCCAGAGGAGCTTTTCAGTCAAGTCTGGGCCCCCGTTCCTCAGCCAAGATCCCCTCCAGCAGATCGCAGGCCAAAGGGGCGACGGTCACCCCTGAGGGCCCGTATCCGGGGCGGGGCTCCACCGCCTGCCAGCCAGGCGACCTGGCAGCTGACCCCAGCCACTGGCAGAACCTCCACGCCACACCGGGTGAGTCCCAGGTGCCACACCGGCTGAGTCCCAGCGTCCCGGGGACCGGCCTGTGAGCAGAGAGACCGGGCTGCTTTGGGGGTCTAAGTGGACTGCCCCCGAAGAAAGGACGGGCAGCCTGGAAAGGCCTGGAAGGGCCTAGAAGGGCCTGCCCAGTGAGCCCGGAGCATTTGGAGCCCACGGCTCCCTCTCCTTCCCCCCGCCACACAGCTGGGGGTGAGCTGGAGGAGGCTGTGCCCCCCAGACAAGGTTGGTATTGTGTAGACTGAACCGGCACTCCTGTCCCTCTCTTTCCAGCTGCCGCCCAGGGGACAGCGGACTGAGGCCAGGAGCCTCACGGAGCACAAGCAGGTGCCCTGGCTGAATGCTGGGGTGCAGAGGGCTCCCATCTGGGGCTCCGAACCTCTGGCAGCAGAAGCCAGGCCTCAGAACTTAGAAGTGGCTCGCCTGCACACGGGCTGTGGGGCCGGCCACCTTGCGTCTCCCCAGCCGCGCACAGCTCCCTGGGGGCCCTCAAGCTGGGCGGGGAGCTTTGGGTCAGATGAAGGGCCCTCAGCCCCTCCCTGAACCCCCTGCTGAAGGCCACGGAATGGCTGGGTGGGCTGCCCTCTCTGCTGGATGGCCTGGCCTCTGACCTGTCCCGTCTCAGCTTGGTGCAGGCTCCCTCCGGACCACCCGGGGTCACGGCCACCATCCCCGGCCCCTGCCTGAGCGCTGGAGAGCAGAGTGCGACCCCACACTTGCTACGGCCGACCAGGCTCCGTTGGCTCAGGACCACCCCCAGCCCCCGCCCAGAGCGCTCCCATACTGCCTGTCCACATGCTAGCAGGGCGGCCCCCCACTGCCCAGGCGGGGCCTCCGCCCGGCCCCCTGCACCCACGCTCCCAGAGCTCAGGTCACCTTGCGCAGCCCAGCCAGTCGGGCCAAGGCCGGCCACTTCCTCTGGCCTCAGGGGCCACCCGCCGGGATGTGCCCTTCTCAGAAGTGTCATTAAGGGCCACTGTGTGCCATCTGTGCTCAAGGACCACAGAGGGACCCTTGGCCCTGCAGCGTGATTTCCACACCCAGGCCAGGGGTCGCCCAGCGGCCGGCCCGGCAGATGCGCCCCCACAGAACTGTCCTGCTTGCTCCCAAGCACCGCCAGGCTGTCCCTCCTGCATCTGGAGTCCCGCTCGCGTCCACCTGGCCACAGTGGCCCCCCAGCAGGCACCCCGGGCCTGGCCCCCTTCCTGCCTTTCGGGGGGGTGGGGTGGCTACAACAGACCAGGGGTGGGCAAAACCAGTAAACACTTGTGCGCCGAGCTCGCCTCTTCCCTTGAGGACAGACACGGGGTCTGCAGGGCGACGGAAGCCCTGCGGCAGGTGGGGTGGGGGAGGGTTATGGCGCCCAGCTGTACCTGTTAAAATGTGGGGGGGGGGGGGCGGGATTGCCGAGGAGGAGGCGAGGGCGGAACCACAGGCCACAGACAGAGCCTGCTGCCCTCCCCCCGCGACCCCCACCACGTACGAGCCCCAGGCTGTCCCCCGAGGACACCCCATAGGCTGGAGATGCCAATACCTCGGCGACCTGCCCGGGGCCACGTATGGGCGGGACAGGGGGAGGAGAGGGGTGTCCCGCTGGTTCACCCCTGCTGGCGCTCAGCCCGGAGATCCGCCCCCCACATTGAAGGGGCGGAGCAAGGGGGCGCCCTTTCCTGCAACCCCCTCCAGCGTCTGGTCCCGGAAAGGGGCCGTGAGAGGCCGGGTCAAACAGGAGCTGAAAGGAGGATGAAGGGGGGTGGGCGGAGGGGCAGAGAGGCCTCACCCTCGGGTCCCAGGCCGCCCACCCCCATCCCAGGTCAGGGTTTCCGGGGTGGCGGGCTGTGGTCGGCGCTCACCACGTTTTCGCATCGCCCGGCACTTGGAGGCGAGGGGTCCTCTTACCCCCCCAACACCGTCTGCCCACAGTGCCCCCTCCCCGTCAAGGCGCAGGGCAGGGAGGGGGACTGAGCGCTGGCTACGGCTGTGCCGCCCCTGCCCTGCGTTCCTGCTCCCCTCACCTGGACCATCCGGGCTCGGGCCCAGGGCTAACCCCGAAAATCCTCACCTGCCGGGAGGTGGAGCAGGGAGGGGGTGCGGGAGCAGACCAGAGGCGGGCGCCTTCAGGACTTGCGGGAGCCCTGGCCTTCCACGGGCGGGGGAAACCGAGGCCCAAACAGGCCATGACTGCGAGCCTGTCGAGGACATTCGGGGCTGTAGGGACTGGGGTGAGGAGGGGCCTCCTCGGGCACGGCTTCCCGGCTGTCCGCGTGTGTGCTGCCACCAAGTGGCAGTGGTGCTCAAAGATCAACCTCCAAGCCAAGATCTTAGGCCACACCCAGCGCCCCCTGGCCTGGCAGGCCCGCTTTGACCAGTAACACCCTCCCCCATCCCAGGCCACTCCTGCCCAGGAGAAAGACGCTGAGGAACTCAGGCCCCAGGATGGGAAGGGCTAAAGGTAGGTGGCTAGGTCACCCCGGCCCGGGCTCTCACTTGACCCACAGGGAGTCTTTGGGACATCTGTGTGCCTCATTCATTCACGCATTCATTCACCCATTTCTCAAGCAGGTGCTGAGTACCACTGGGTGCCCCGCTGACCCAGCATCAGGAAGTAACATTGACAAAGATCCCCGCCCTTGCAGCTGGGGACCAAGCCTGGGTCTGCCCTAGACCGAGGGCCTGATTGGGTCAGGATTCTCAGTCCTGAAGCCCAGGCAAACGGGGACCGTTCATCACCCTGCCAGGAGCTGAGTTTTGCGTGCGGGAGACAGACGACTAAATACATACGTTATATGGGGTGCCCCGCGCCAGGCTGAGGCTGGGGAGAACGAGGCGGGAAAGCAGACAGGAAGTATGGGAGAGGGCGCCTTGTGAGCCGAGACTGCAGAGGCGAAGGGCCATGAGCTGCCTGGTTCTAACGGGATCTGACAGGCAGGCAGGTGGGGCCATGGGACGTCCAGCATGGACACCATGGGTATGAGCAAAAGTGACCGGCATTTCGGCCTCAGTGACTGGAAGGCAGAGCTCCATGGGCTGAACAGGGGACACAGCAGCTATAGTTAGTGTTTGGACCTGGTGAGTTTGAGCTGCCTATTGGACATTCATTCATTTACCAGGACTTATGTAGTGACTGCTGTTCCCTCAGTGAACAACATCGACACAGGTCCCTGCCCGAGGCAGAGGAGCAAGGCAAAAAAAACATAAAACAGTGAGTACATTATCTGAGATGTGAAAAGGGCATTCAGAAAAGGCAGAGGGGTGCCTGGTAGCTCAGTCGGTTAAGCAACCGACTTCAGCTCAGGTCATGATCTCTGCAGTTCGTGGGTTCGAGCCCCGCATCGGGCTCTGTGCCAACAGCTCAGAGCTTGGAGCCTGCTTCCGATTCTGTGTCTCCCTCTCTCTCTGTTCCTCCCCTGCTCTTTCACTGTCTCTCTCTGTCTCTCAAAAATAAATAGACATTAAAAAAAGAAAGAAAGAAAGAAAAGGCAGAGCTGGATAAGGGAAGGAGCTGGTCCTGGGGGCATAGTGGCAGGTGGGTCTCATGCAAAGACAAAAAGGAGGTAAGGGAGTTAGAGGACACCATTGGGACCAACGGTTAAAAACAGTCTCCTGCCAGCCCAGTGAGTCCTCTCTACAAAGGCTGGGAAGAAGTGAACAGTTTTGCTATTGAATAAGTGTTAAGAGATTGCAAGGCAGAAAACTCACCCTCTCACATGAGCTGGGCAGGTACAACACTTTCTATACACGATCGTGAGAAATGATAACTTGTCCAAAGGGCACCTGACACACAGCCTATTTCGTGTGATAATAATACAGGCACCCCAACTCTCTTTGATTACAGTTTGCATGGGATATGTTTGTTTTTTTTAATGTTTACTTTTTTTTGACAGAGAGAGCATGGGCGGGGGGGGGGCAGAGAGGGAGACAAGGACCCAGAGTGGGCTCTGCACTGAGAATGGATGCGGGGCTCCCACTCACAACTGTGAGATCATGGCCTGAGCCGAAGTCAGATGCCTAACCAACTGAGCCCCTCAGGCGCCCCTGCATGGAGCACCTTATTCCATCCTTTGACTTTCCACCTCTTTGTGTCTTTTTACCTAAAGTGAGTCTCTTGTACAGCGTGTCACAGGTGGATCATGTTGTTTTATGCACTCTGCCAATCCCTGCCTTTTAATTGGAGAGTTTAATCCATTTACGTTTAAAGAGATTCCTGAAAAGAAAGGATTTATTTCCACCAGTTAGTCATTTCTTTGCTGTGTGTCTTACACGGTTTTTCTTCCTTGTTTCCCCACTACTGCCTGTTTTTGGTATTTCGTTGATTTCTGTATGGTACCATTTTGAGTTCCTTCTCCTTTCCTTTTCTGTATATTCTTTTCGGTATTTTCCCAGTGGTTGTCTTGAAAGTTACAATTGAAATCTTAGAATCATAACACCATAGTTTGAAGAGTACCAATTGAGTCTCAATAGTGTACAGACATTCAGTTCCTATACATCTTTTTCCCTCCCCCGTTGTTGTCACAGATATGAACCGTGTGCCCACTGACAGATTGCTTCCTGCATTTCTAAATCATATGGGGGAATAAAGGACGACTTACAAACCACAACTGCAGTAATGCCAGCTTGTCTGTCTTTGTGTGTAGTCACCTGTTCTGTCTTTCTTCATGCAGCTTTGAGTTACTGTCTAGGGTCCTGTCATTTCGGCCAGGAGGACGCCCTTTAGCGTTTCTCGTACAGGACGTCTACTTGCGATCAACTCTCTCAGGTCTTACTTATCAGGAAATATCTCACTTTCCCCTTTGTTTTTGGAAGACAGTTTTTCTGGATACAGAATCCTTGGTCGACAGCGTTTTGTTTTTGTCTTTCATGACTTGAAGTATGTCATCCTACTGCCTTCTGGTCTCCATGTCTTCTAATGAGAAATCTGCCTGAAACCTTTTTGAGGATCTCTCGTATGTGACAAGTCGGTATCTCTCTCGCTGCTTTAAAGATTTTCTCTGACCTTGGCCCTTGATAGTTTGATTATAATGTGTCCTAGTGGGGACCTCTGAGTTTATCCTGCTTGGAATTTGCTGAGACTCCTGGATATACAGATTCATACCGTTCATCACATTTGGGGAGTTTGGGGCCATTATTCCTTCAAATATGTGTACGTCCCATTCTCTCTCTCCTCCTTCTGGGATGCCCACGATGTGCATGTGAGTAGTCCTGATGGTGTTCCCTAGGTCTCCCTCGCCCTTCCCTTTTTCTTCATTCTTTTTATTTTTGCTTCTCAAACTGGGTGATTTCGATGGCTTCGTCTTCCAGCGTGCTTAAACGTGTTGTAGAATCTCCCTGGTGAATTCTTCATTTCAGCCACTGTACTTTCCAGCTCCAGATTTCCTATTTGGTCCCTTTTCACAATTCCTGTCTCCTTACTGGAATTCCCTCTTTGTACCTTGTTCCCCTGATTTCCTTTAACTTGTTGCACAAATTAAAGATGTTGATTTAACATCTGTGTCTATTAATTCCAGTGTGTGGACTTCTTCAGAGCTGGTTTCTGTATAAATCTCTTTTTCCCCTAAGAACAGGCCATATTTTCTATTTCTTGGAATACTTTGTACTTTTTTGTTGAAGACTGAACGTTCTGAGTGTAATGTTAACTCTTCAGATCACATTCTCCTGGGGCGTCTGGTGGGCTCAGTCAGTGGAGCACACAACTCTTGATCTCAGGGTTGTGAGTTCAAGTCCCACGTTGGGTACAGAGACTACTTAAAAATAAAAAATCTTAAAAAAAAAAAAAAAAAGACCACACTCTCCCGCTCCTCATGAATTGTTGAGTTTTGCATATTGAAGGCTAATCTTCCATTTGTTTAGTGACTTTTCCAAACTATTTATGCAAAGTCTTTATTTCTTGTTACATGTGGTCATTGAATTTCTGGTTCCATTATTTCTGTGATCATTCAGTGACTTAATAGAAATTTCCTTAAATGTGAATATGTATATCCTCCGGTAGATGCCACAATTAGGAACAAAAGGCAAAACCCAGCAAACTACACTCAGAACTAGTAGGAGGAAGGAAGTAACAAAGGTTAGCGTGGAAATAAGTGACACGGAGAGTACAGAAATAGAGAAAATCGATGAAATCAAAAGTTAGTTCATTAAAAGTACCAACAGAATCAACGTACCTCTTTTTAGTCAGATTGACTAAGAAAAAAGAGAGAAGACTCAAATTATGAAAATCACAAGTCAAGTGAGGATATTACTATTAATTTTACAGAAATAAAAAGGATTACAAAAGCATGCT